CCCCAACGATGCTGGAGATTATGTGGAGACTGGGACGCCAATCATTCTCGTGTGTTTTGGAAGTGTAAAAATATCAAACCTTACTGGGAAAGCATTGGTAACAATGAAGAAAGTGCTGGGGTATGACGTGCCGTGTGAGGCACGAGTAATGTATTTTGGAATATGGGGAAATGTAACAAAGGAGGACCATTACTTGTTTAAAATTATGTTGTTGTCAAGCAAAAAGGTAATAACAAAAAACTGGCTGAAAAGTGACCCTTTAAAATTGGAAGAATGGACTGATGTAATCGAGGACATATATCCAAAACATACAAGTTTCATTATATAATTTTTCAAGGGATCTTATATCTGTTTTCACTCTTGTATGCTTTTCATACAAGTTTCACACAAGACAGATACAAACTTTATAAGATTTATATGTATCTTTTCCATATGGGTCTCCTCGTTGTTTTTTTTCCTCTTCCACAGATTAGGTGTCCTTTATTCCTTTTAGTTTGTTTCTTTTGTGTTCCTTTTTCATATTTTTGTTTGCGTGTACTATAAAATTGGAAAAAGTACAAAATAAAAAGTTAAAAAAGCAAAAATCAAAAAGATCGTCTGCACTGCAAACGGAAAGACAAAAAAAGTTTTCATCGCTGTCACAGTTTCTGTTTCTTTCTCCTCCAACCTGACAGCGCAGGCTGCCTTTCTCCTCCCCTTTAGGGTGGAGTTGTATACTTTCCCGCTCCTCAGTCGTAGCACCTGTTTGCCATCAAGTTGATCCACTCCAGTGCAAACAGACCAGCTGCTAGTGTTGCACCAGTGAGCTACATACTGAGCCAAGAGGATAGAAACTGAGGCTACGTTCACACTGCAGGTCTTAATGCTCAGTTCCGATTTTCTTGTCTGCTCGTTCACACTACAAATAAAATGTGACAGCAAACGCGCTCTAGCGCTCTAGCTCTCCCTCAAAGCAGCCGCGTGCGCAAAAGAAGACGTCATGCACAACGCGCTCTGTTTAGATCCAGATCAAACAGTATTGTTTGACTGATGGCCTTAATATAAAGACGTGTTTCGTTTCCCAATTTTGCTTTAACCTCTTAAGCCCCAAGGGGGTTTCTGAGCTTCCTGCTCGAAAATGTAATGCCCAAATTTAATTGATTATTTCTCTGCAATTACAAACTCTGTCCTTACAATCTTGGTATCAAAATAAAGCTAACACTTGGGAAATTTCATCAGAAGTGTAAATACTGAAGCAGATATTACTGTGTCAAAGTTACTGAGACTGGAACACAGAAAAAGTAAGTAGATTTTATCCTCGCCTAATTATTTTTTTTTTCATTTTTAGCATATAACCCTTTGAAAAATATGCCTCAGATCACATTTGGTTCCAGAAATTCAGTAATCAACATATAGACATCATCTGTGCACAGACTCATGTTTCTAAAGTGAAACAGTGAAAAATTACAGCCTTGTCAATACATGAATATCCAGACATTGTACAAAAATGTCCAATTTTGACACACAATTGGACACCATGCCAGTTGATTTTTTTTAGGTATTAAAGAGCAGAAATTAATAAATTTTATTAACAGGCCTAAAATGCTTTTTTTTAAATATATTTTTGAAGAATTAACCACACATTTGGACTGGTTCTTATATAGCGCTTTTCTACTCTTTCTGAGCACTCAAAGCGC